ACGTAATCCCTGTCGTATATTTTCGTGTAAAGGAGCCGTTGTATATAAGTTAAGAGAAGATGGCGAGTTGGCGAAGCTTAAGCAACTTCGCAGTTTGATCAACTAATAATTGATCCATAAAGTGCTTTTCAGTTTAAAACTTTCTTAAGTCAACTTTTCACTCCCTGCTCTCTAAATAGATGCACTCCAAGTTAATCAACTTTCAATGATTTGTGGAGAATTCTTCTGATCTTGTTTTCCCATGACGTATTTTATCTCTCCTTTTTTATTATTTTTGTATAATAATTTATTATTACTTGGCGCATCTTTAGCAATTTAGTTCTGACACAATTTTCTGTACGATCAGTTCTTGAGGTTGATAAAACTTTTCCAACGTATCAGGAAATGATAAGGTTATCCATACTGCGATACAAAAAATGCAGTGCACTGAATCGAAGGTAACTTTGCCATGACATTGTAGTTTGTTTAAGACGCGAACGTCTGTAACTAGTGTAATTATGTCTTCGCTCAACCGGAAACTTCTTTCCACCAACATGTTTGGTATTGTAACATACGGAATTGCTACTATCGAGAACAGTGAACTTCGTATGTGCATAATATGCGACGAAATATTCACAGCAAAAAGTGTAAGCGATATCGCGCTTCATTACGATACAAATCACACTTTTTGTTTCGATAAATCACATACGGATGTTGTTAAATTTCTTCGACCAAAGGCCATCGCGAAGACAGATCCAAAAACGCTTATCAACGAAGAGATACGCTTCTGTCTTCGGATGTCGGAACATATTGTCAAATCCACGGCGGGGTATATAATAACAGACTCTATGATCAAATTACCTGAATTTGAAGATGTATTCGAAGCAATCCTAGAAGATACTGCAGAGTATACAACAGATAAATTGTTATTTAACTGCGTAAGAAAAATGTCCTCTGACATCAAGAGACAATTGATCGAAAAGGTATGCGGCAGGAAATTTTCGCTACAGTACGAAATAACCGAGGATTACGAACTTCTGATTAACATCAAATTCTTGGACGAGAATCGTGTCGCCGAACACTTCTTATCGTACACGAAATTATCCACGACCGCGACTGGACTGGACATATTCAACTGTGTAACAGCGAGATTGGAAGAACATATGCTGTGTTGGGAGAACTGTGCATCGTTATGCGTCGCTGGGGTGTCAGTAATGAGCGACAGGATCGAAGAATTTTATTGCAAGTTGAACGAAAGTTGTCCGACCATCGAGTACACGAAGTGTTTCACGTTCCGAGATGAAATTCTGATGGAGAGGATGCCTATGGAGCTGGAGCAAGTACTAGATTCGGTAGCCGAGATGGTTAGGTACATCGTATCCTCACGAGTTGGATTAAAAGTGTTGAAGGCCCTGTGCGAGGTTGTGGACCCTTATTATGAAACGATGATCATTCACACCGATTACTGGATGTTCAATAGCGAACTACTCGCAAAATTCTACGAAAACAGGAATGAGTTGGCACATATTTTTGCAGATAAAAAACCTGACTTTGCGGCCTTAATTTTAGACGAAGAATGGTGTTCAAAACTTGCATATCTAGTTGATATTTTTAACTACTTGTTCAGAAGGCTCTGTTCGGAGGAAAATGGCAGCATCATATGTTGGGAATTCTTACTGCATTTTGCCATAGGAGAAATTAGATCATGGGAAAATGATATTAAAAACAACGACGTTCATATGTTTCCTCATTTGTCTGATACCGACATACGTAATATTTATCCTTTAATTTTAGAGCATCTTAAGATTCTGCAGGAGATATTACCACGATATTTACCTACCTTCGACGCAGGGAAATGCAGGTGGATCTGTAAGCCCTTTGAAGTTCGCGCACAATTGGTATCACTTTTTTCGAGCAAGGAAGCAACGGAATTAGCAAGTCTTCAATCTGATTCTGATCTTAAGGAATTGTTTGAGAAGACATTACTACCTGTATTTTGGAGTTCGGTGAAATCAGAGTACCCTCGTTTGGCAAATATTGCTCTACACATGTTACTACACTTTTCATCAGCGCGGTTACTTAACCGGGAACACTCCGAAATGCTGAACATTAAGTTCAAGAAGATCTCGCGATCTGTCGACGTTGAAGATGAGCTACGATTGTGTCTGTCTTACTTTAGACCTTTGAGGTGAATCATTGAAATTAGTGGTGAAGTCGACCTTAGTCGGTGATTCGAGCTTGAGACGAATCTGAAAAACGATATCGAGTTAACACGCAGAAATATTTTTGGAAACATTTTAGACTCCAAATTTTCAAGTACATATAAGAGTATCCAAATTTTTCTGTCTTCGAATATACAAATTTTGCAAAGCCTTCTTTAATCTGTGTAGTTTTCTTTTATTAAAAACGTAAATTTTATTTCAAAATCGTACTATGTTTATTTCCTTAAAAATTCATTTACTAAACAACATCATGTTATTTGAATATTTTTCTTTAACAGCCTGAATATTTGTACTTTAATTATAAATAAAGAAATTTATCTTCACGTTTTAGTATTAAGTATTGAATAAATTGTATTAATTATAATTTAAACATTCGAAATTCTTATTTTGAGAATTTTCCGAGAAAACACATAACTTTCACCACAATATTATTTCAGCGTCCATCGTTCAATTAACTGTTATTGGCGTGATATAATGTGTCAATATTTGGTGAATGAATCTAAAACTGCTGTTTGGTTTACGGTAATAAATCCCTTTTAATCAATATTTCAGCCTTTCGTCAAACTTTAATATTATAGGCGATGTGCGAGAGAGTGGTCCGATTTCGTAGTTTTCATTTTACGTCTCGAAAATTGCATAAATTCACTCTCTATGGATAGTTTTAGCACCGATAGATATGCCCAATATCGCGCTGATATCGTTTTTGCGCCAACAAACATAAAACATTGAATAAAACGAATATTCGTGACAGGTAAGTGTGAGACAGACATAGATCTGATTGTGAGTAGTCAAGATGGCGGCCCCTACCCACTTCACGCCGTATTTTTCGTTTTGCAGAAAATTTAGGCATTTACTCACCGAAAACAATATCAGCGCGGCATTACTGTAATGGTACGATGTCGGCTTGGTCTATTTTATGTTAATTTATCACTTCTAGAAGACATAAGATGAAAAATACGATTATGTGCACTTGCGCCTGTCAACGATGTTTCGCCATATAATTATAGTTTCACGATTATCCGCTTGAAGCGCTTGCAGTGTTAGTCGCACGTTGTCGCGATTTTGGCCAGTTTGCCTACACGTCGATGAAAACACGAAACTGTTGGTAACTGCATATAGTTTTCTGGACTAGGTATGACACTGCGCATTGCACTGCGCATTGCACTGCGCACGTCACGTAATTCAACCATTCAGTTTATAAGACAATTTTCCACCTTTAACTTTTCCGTGCTTTATTAACTGAGATGGTCTTCGATCATTCGCTTGCGCTAACAGTGATGAACTGACTCGCACGAAAACTTACTCATCTCCACGCACGCTGACGCATTCTCACCCGGAATCATTCTGTCTTATCAGGCATTCCTCGAACTCGGACACCCAACGCGACATTCGAACCGATCATCTAAACATCCTCTCGCAAACGCAACTCATTACCTCATTTCATACACACCGAAATTCTTACAGCTAGACTAAATAAAAGTTTATACCATATAGTGCATGTACCAAAGCAAAATAAAATCTTAATTTAATAGAATCGTCGGATCTCATTTACGATATAATATTATGGAATCGGAGAGAAAAAGTGCGATCTCGGTTACCGGGAATCGAACCCGAAACCACAAGAATCGCAGCCGCCGATTCTACGCGTTCACCCACGTAATTTTTTGGAAATTTGTTTTCTAATAGTCGTAATACCAAAATTACATTGCACTGAATTTATATAATAGAAAATAATATAGCATATTACCTCTTATCCGCTGCTAATTCGTCTTCTTATTATAAAATATATTTGAAATAATTCTGAATAATTATCAAGAAATTGTATATAATAGTATATGCAATAGTATTTAATATAATACTGGAACTATTATGGTTAATATCACCTAACCTAACCCATATTAAAAGTATTACAAAAAAGAAAATTAAAAACATAACATGAAAAACTAAAGGATCCAAAACTATCGAGGATTTGATCCCACGCCTAGAAAACCATCCATCGATAACGAGGTAAGAGTCCTACCGCTTTCGCTACGAATGCTGTTGTAGTATCATTTTACGTTTCTGAATTTAACCAGATACGACGAAAAATTAATAAATGTGGTTTTCCATTATTTACAACTACAGCTTGCAATATAAAAATCTGAAAAAATTCTATCATATGCGCTATAAGAATCTCAATGTTTTAGAATTTTTTAAGAATTTTTATACGAGATTAAATAGGCGAAACAGGCCAAAAACCAAAATTTTGTTTCTCCCTTTTTACTGCCCCCATGGTTGAAATAGGGGGTTGAAACTTAGTGTAAGATGTCTTTTTTTATATGCTATCGACTGCCGTATAGCGTATTTCATTTGACTCAAGTGCATTTTTGATCATCCCCTCCCTCTTTCCTCGAGTTGCGCTCGATAGGATTTATCAACTTTCAATGATTTGTGAAGAATTCTTCTGATCTTGTTTTCCCATGACGTATTTTACCTCTCCTTTTTTATTATTTTTGCATAATAATTTATTATTACTTGGCGCACCTTTAGCAATTTAGTTCTGACACAATTTTCTGTACGATCAAAAATAATAGAGGTATCATGGAATATATGATAAGGAAAGTATATAGCAGTTCTTGAGGTTGATAAAACTTTTCCAACGTATCAGGAAATGATAAGGTTATCCATACTGCGATACAAAAAATGCAGTGCACTGAATCGAAGGCAATTTTGCCATAACATTGTAGTCTGTTCAAGACGCGAACGTTCGTAACTAGTGTAATTATGTCTTCGTTCGACCGGACAATTTTTTCCACCAACATGTTTGGTATTGTAACATACGGAATTGCTGCTATCGAGAACAGTGAACTTTGTATGTGCATAATATGCGACGAAATATTGAGAGCGAAAAGTGTAAGCGATATCGCGCTTCATTACGATACAAATCACACTTTTTGTTTCGATAAATCACATACGGATGTTGTTAAATTTCTTCGACCAAAGGCCATCGCGAAGACAGATCCAAAAACGTTTATCAAAGAAGAGACAAGCTTCTGTCTTCGGATGTCGGAACATATTGTCAAATCCACGGCGGGGTATATAATAACAGAAACTATGATCAAATTACCTGAATTTGAAGATGTATTCGAAGCAATCCTAGAAGATACTGCAGAGTATACAACAGATAAATTGTTATTTAACTGCGTAAGAAAAATGTCCTCTGACATCAAGAGACAATTGATCGAAAAGGTATGCGATAAGAAATTTTCGCTACAGTACGAAGTAACCGAGGATTACGAACTTCTGATTAACATCAGATTCTTGAACGAGAATCGTGTCGCCGAACACTTCTTATCGTACACGAAATTATCCACGACCGCGACTGGATTGGACATATTCAACTGTATAACAACGAGGTTGGGAGAACATATGCTGTGTTGGGAGAACTGTGTATCGTTATGCGTCGCTGGGGTGTCAGTAATGTGCGACAGGATCGGAGAATTTTATTGCAAGTTGAACGAAAGTTGTCCGACTATCGAGTACATGAGATGTTTCACGTTTCGAGATGAAATTCTGACGGAGAGAATGCCTATGGAGCTGGAGCAAGTACTAGATTCGGTAGCCGAGATGGTTAGGTACATCGTATCCTCACGAGTTGGATTAAAAGTGTTAAAGGTCCTGTGCGAGGTTTTGGGCCCTCATTATGAAACAGTAATCATTCACACCGATTACTGGATGTTCACTAACGAACTACTCGCAAAATTCTACGAACACAGAAACGACTTGGCAGACATTTTTGGTGATAAAAAACCTGCCTTTGCGGTCTTACTTAAAGACAAAGAATGGTGTTCAAAACTTGCATATCTAGTTGATATTTTTGACTGCTTGTACGGAATTCTCTTGTCCGGCTCGGAGGAAGATGATCACATCATACGTTGGGAGATCTTGCTGCATCTTGCCATAGAAGAAATTGGATCGTGGGAAAGTGATATTAAAAACAACGATTTTCAGATGTTTCCTAGTTTGTCTGATACTGACATGCGTAATATTTATCCTTTAGTTTTAAAGCATCTTAAGATTCTGCAGGAGATATTACCACGATATTTACCTACCTTCGACGCAAGGGAATACAGGTGGATCTGTGACCCCTTTAAAGTTCATACACAATCGGTTTCACTTTTTTCGAGCAAGGAAGCAACGGAATTAGCAAGTCTTCAATCTGATTTAGATCTTAAGGAATTGTTTGAGAATACATCACTACTTGAATTTTGGATTTCGGTGAAATCAGTGTGCCCTCATTTGACAAATATTGCTCTACACATGTTACTACACTTTTCATCAGCGCGATTACTTGACGAGGAATACTCCGAGATGCTGAACATTAAGTTCAAGAAGACCTGGCGATCTGTCGACGTTGAAGATGAGCTACGATTGTGTCTGTCTTGCTTTAGACCTTTTAAGTGAATCATTGAAATTGTTGGTGAAGTCGACTAAGGCGATTCAAGCTTGAGACGAATTTGAGAAACGATATCGAGTTAATACCCAAAAATATTTTTGGAAACATTTTAGACTCCAGTATCCAAGTTTTCAAGTACATGTAAGAGTATCCAAATTTTTCTGTCTTCGAATATACAAATTTTGCGAAGCCAAATCTGTGTAGTTTTCTTTTATTAAGAACATAAATTTTATTTTAAAATAGTACGATGTTTATTTGCGTAAAAATTCATTTAATAAACAACATCATGTTATTTGAATATTTTTCTTTAACAGCCTGAATATTTGTACTTTAATTATAAATAAAGAAATGTATCTTCACGTTTCAGTATTAAGTATTGAATAAATTATATTAATTATAATTTAAACATTCGAAATTCTTATTTTAAGAATTTTCCGAGAAAACACATAACTTTCAACACTATTAACTATTATTTGCGTGATATAATGTGTCAATATTTGGTGAATGAATCTAAAACTGCTGTTTGGTTTACGGCAATAAATCCCTTTTAATCAATATTTCAGCCTTCCGTCAAACTTTAAGTTGAATTTCAACCGACGTAGACCAAATAACTCATCAAATATTGATGCCATTTAAGTTCTTACGTACTTTCGAAGTCACTTTCTCGAGCGTATTTATATTTTCCAGCAGAAAAGTCTTACCCCGAAGTAATGAAACTAGAAGGTTCGATTTATGACATCTATCAACAGGCTGGTCCTCTCTAAGCATCCAATTTCGCGGCAAAGAAGAGACGTTATATAAGATTTCTCTGGGAAATTGAATTCGCTTCGATAACTCTGTGAATATTGATTTTAATGAAAATTGCCTGAGGCGTGAATCGTGTGATTCAACGAACCCCACAAGGATGCCCTCTTTGAATCACTCCTATCTCATAATTCATGGTATTTTATGGCTATCTCCGTTTTCTTTGTCATACAACTTACCTTTTTGTAAAGAAATAATTCTTGCATTTCCATTTTATTTACATTTTGTAAATTTCCAAATTTACGAGGCGAGATTTGTCTAATTTTAATTTTAAGCAAGATGCTATTATTTATTATTTTATGTTTTAAATTTGACAGTTTGAGCTTAGTGAAATATCCTGTATAATTTAAAATTCAATTTAGGTGACCATAACGAAATAAAAATTGTTATTCAAATGCGAGTTTGTTATATGAAACATCCTATATAATTTTAGTTTCAGTTTACGTAATAATAGTTACTGAATTATTTAAATTTAACTTTGTCTTTAGTGAGACATTACATAATTCCAAATTCAATTTAAGTAATCAGTATACCAATTACTAAATTATTTCAATTTAGCTGTTCAACTTAAGTGAGTCATCCTGTACAATTTGAATCCTGATTCTGGTAATCTTATATAAACAGCAGCTTTTACAGTATTCAAATTTTGCTATTCATTCTTAATAAAACATCCTGTATAAGTTCAATACTAACCATAGCGAAATAATAATTACAGAGTTGTTCAAATTTAACTGTTCTATCTTCATGAGACATCCTATAGAGTTTCAATTTCAATAATAGTAATCATCACGAAATAATAATTACAGAGTTGTTCAAATTTAACTGTTCAATCCTAATGAACCATCCTGTATAATTTCATTTTCAATTTACGCATCACAACGAAATAATAATTATTAAATTATTCAGATTCACCTGTTTGACCTAAGTCATCCTGTGCCATATATTAATCCTACAGTAATCGTAAATAAACAGAAGCTACTAAAGTGTTCAAAATCTTGTTCATCTTTAATGAAACATCCTGTAAAATTTCCATTTCAATAATAGTAATCATAACGAAATAATTATTACAGAGTTGTTCAAATTTAACTGTTCAAACCTAATGAATCATCCTGTATAATTTCCCTTTCAATTTACGTAATCACAACGAAATAACAATTATTAAATTATTCAGATTAACCTGTTCGACCTAGTCATCCTGTGCAATATAATAATGCCAGCGAACATAAATAAACAGCAGCTACCAAAATGTTCAAAATGCTGTTCATCCTTAATGAAACATCCTGTAGAATTTCCATTTCAATAATAGTAATCATAACGAAATAATTATTACAGAATTGTTCAAATTTAACTGTTCAAACCTAATGAATCATCCTGTATAATTTCCCTTTCAATTTACGTAATCACAACGAAATAACAATTATTAAATTATTCAAATTCACCTGTTTGACCTAACTAAGTCATCATGTGCCATACCAATATCAATCCTATAATAATCATAAATAAACAGCAGCTATTCAAAATCCCGTTCATCCTTAATGAAACATCCTGTATAATTCCAATACAAATAACCATAACGAAATAACAATTACTGAATTACCCGATTGCCTGAGCATCGAAGTGAGACGGTAATTATTTCTTTCATCATCTATAGGACCGAGGTGATTTTAGTGAACCGGCAGATATTGCCCTCGAGGATTTCCATAAAAACATTCGAACGAAAGACTTCCATCCGTTTCCCTTGGCCCAGCGTTACCTGCAACTATTCGACCCAGTACCTTTACCCAGGTCCAAACATATTTTTCAGTCCTTTTTATCACTCGTCGTTCCGAGTAAGTGCTTCCCTTTTATAACCTCCCGGCCAATGCGAACGTATTCAGAGGTGCACCTAATTCGATGTCAGTCACCTTTTCCTACCTTCTTCTCTTTCGGTGCAATCCCGGTCCCTTAGGGAAGCCGCGTTTACGGGAATCTCGACGGTGAACCGCGACGTGTATTCATGAACCACATTCCCCGTACAATAGATACGTCAGATCGATCCCTGCCACCGGTAATATACTTGTCAGGAAGTGTGTACGTTCTCGATCCTTTGATGTGACAGCGATTCGAGGCGAACGAGAAACTGGTTCAACGGGAACAGTCTAAGAGGGGATCTAATGGAGCACGTGATCAAGAAGCACAACAACCTGATGAAGGAATTATTTTACCAATCAACGACCACATTTCGTAATTAACTCCATTCGAATCTAAAACCCTGCGAAACTTACGAAACTTTTGACTAATTATTTTATGATAAGTAAATAGATGTTTCAAAAGTGATTTACATTTCTCGACATCTTTTTAACCTTACTTTGCACTACCTAAATAATGAATACGAATTAATTGTTGCTTTGAGAATCGAATTAATAGATTTACAAACTAAGGAGTGTGTCATGTGTCATGTATGTCACATGTCATTGCAGCTAGTCATTCGGTTAAAAATATGAATTATAACATTGTCATCGATATGATAATTTGTAACATTATTAAAACATGCCCAATATTTTAATTTTAAACTAAATAAATTCTACAAAATACACAATAATGTTTTTGTGTAATCTACAAATCTAATAATGAATACTTCAACTACGTAAAAATTTTCGAATAAAATTCCGACCTCGTTGAAATAAAATTTCAAATCCGTCGATGAACTCTTTAGCGCGGAATCTGGCTGTAGTTCAAAGCGTTCGAGCAATCTCGGTGTTTCGCAGGTTTTCAAGACCTTCTGAACTGCCAAGTTTCTTTGGATTCGTCGAGACTGTTTAAGTGGTAGATTTTCAAGTGGCCGAAGATCCGGCCGGCATTTAGAGCGCAATTCGTCCCTTTGCATGACTGAAATCGCTCGAGAACTCGCGGAAAGGAGGATTGAATGGCCATCGCTACTTACGCGAAAGCTGAAAAATCGTCTCCGCCCCAAAGGGAAGACAACTTCAAAACTTTCTGGGATATCGCGATTCATGGTGGGAAACGTGCCAACGATCTTGTAACGCCCATTTACTCTTCGAGTCGTCACCGTTCCTTTTTTCGCCGATCATCGATGTTTTCAACGAGTATCCACTTTAAAATGTTACGAGTTAAATAAATGTGAATCGCAAGAAAAAATTTCTTCTACAGCAGGACGTAAAACCAATTTAATAATTATCAAGGAATTTATAATAAAAACAGATGCATTTTAACAGAAATGGGGAAGATACGAGGCGTTCAACCTTCTCTAAAATTATATTCAAAAATTTTTTGCAAGTTGATACACGATTATGTGGACCTAGCAGTACATTTTGGGATTAGGGAAAAAGATATTCAAAGAAAACTGTTTAGAAATACAAAGTGACTTCAGTTATCAAATTTACGTGTCAAAAAGAAGTGTACGTGTGCTCACTTTATTCTCAACGTTGCTTTTTTCTCTCGTCTTCGCACAGTTTTATAGACACGTTTCCCGTACGGTAACTCTGCTTCTTTTATGCACACTCGATTTCGCGAAGTGCACGCCCGATACTTCGATCGCTAACCACCCTCGCGAAACGTATTATTGGATCGAAGCGTCGTGATACGTTTCTGCGTGTTGGGTTTAATGCTGTGCGTTGCCGGGAGGCGAAAAAAAGGAACTTGGCAGGGTTTTCCGTCGGCTTTTCCACCCTTTTGTGTCGCTCCATCGCCGCTCTGTTCATCCCTTTCAGCGGCGAGGAACTCCTCGCGGAAGCGTAATAAAATTTCCGCTGAGAAAACGGAGAACGCTACGACAGACACCGGCAGGAATTTCCTTGTCTCTTCGAGATGTTGCGCTATTATCGCTTTTCTTTCGAAACGAAACAGGAAGGGACCTCGTGTTCCTTCTAACGAATTCATCCTCCTTAATCCCGTACCCGCTACTAGCATTTAAGCTGCGCAAAAGTGCCTAAATACCTTAGATCTACGAATGAGTTAATTCACTGTGATCCCATCAAACTCTGTATATTTTTTCATATTTTTATTTACAACACATTTACAAAAAGTGCAAAATCTATTTTACATATGTTACATTGAATAATCCGAACAAAAATTGTGAACAAAATTTTTCATTCAAAATTTAATCTGCGTCAATCATAGTGGCTCCATTACACTCCCACTTCCAACACAATAAATGTACACGAGGTAAAATCCATGACACACGCACACGTAATTCATCTTCAACGATGATTGGATTTAGGACACTCTTGTACTTAATATTTAGCATCTCGGAGTGTTCCCGGTCAAGTAACCGCGCTGATGAAAAGTGTAGTAACATGTGTAGAGCAATATTTGCCAAATGAGGGCACACTGATTTCACCGAACTCCAAAATACAGGTAGTGATGTTTTCTCAAACAATTGCTTACGAACAAAATCAGATTGAAGACTTGCTAATTCCGTTGCTTCATTTCTCAAAAAAACTGATACCGATTGTGCACGAACTTTAAAGGGGTCACAGATCCATCTGTATTCCCTTGTGTCGAAGGTAGGTAAATATCGTGGTAATATCTCCTGCAGAATCTTAAGATGCTTTAAAACTAAAGGATAAATATTACGCATGTCAGTATCAGACAAACTAGGAAACATCTGAAAATCGTTGTTTTTAATATCACTTTCCCACGATCCAATTTCTTCTATGGCAAGATGCAGCAAGATCTCCCAACGTATGATGTGATCATTTTCCTCCGAGCCGGGCAAGAGAATTTCGTACAAGCAGTCAAAAATATCAACTAGATATGCAAGTTTTGAACACCATTCTTTGTCTTTAAGTAAGACCGCAAAGGCAGGTTTTTTATCACCAAAAATGTCTGCCAAGTCGTTTCTGTGTTCGTAGAATTTTGCGAGTAGTTCGCTATTGAACATCCAGTAATCGGTGTGAATGATCATCGTTTCATAATAAGGGTCCACAACCTCGCACAGGGCCTTCAACACTTTTAATCCAACTCGTGAGGATACGATGTACCTAACCATCTCGGCTACCGAATCTAGTACTTGCTCCAGCTCCATAGGCATCCTCTCCATCAGAATTTCATCTCGGAACGTGAAACACTTCGTGTACTCGATGGTCGGACAACTTTCGTTCAACTTGCAATAAAATTCTCCGATCCTGTCGCACATTACTGACACCCCAGCGACGCATAACGATACACAGTTCTCCCAACACAGCATATGTTCTCCCAACCTCGTTGTTATACAGTTGAATATGTCCAATCCAGTCGCGGTCGTGGATAATTTCGTGTACGATAAGAAGTGTTCGACGACACGATTCTCGTTCAAGAATCTGATGTTAATCAGAAGTTCGTAATCCTCGGTTACTTCGTACTGTAGCGAAAATTTCTTATCGCGTACCTTTTCGATCAATTGTTCCTTAATGTCAGAGGACATATTTCTTACGCAGTTAAATAACAATTCATCTGTTCTATTCTCCGCAGTATCTTTTACGATTACTTCGAGCATGTCTTCAAGATCAGGTAGCTTGATCATAGTTTCTGTTATTAGATAAGGCATCACGTCTTTGACAATCTTTCGGCATATGACATAAATAGTGCTTCGATCCCGATAGTTGATTTTTCGGATATTGCCTTTCCCGTTAGGGTAACGCCAGTACGTCATCTGGTTGACCTTCGATCGCAACAATCTAACTACATGGTTATACGATTCGCTCATAATATCACTGTGTTCTGAATTAAAATGTGTTACAATTGCCTTCGGATATTCTGTGTATGTCCTTTTACGACATATTATACAACGTACACGTCTATATATGTCTTTTATACACAAAAATCCATACATTATAACACATATCTCTTTGAACGAATAATTAGATAGATCATCCTTAATCGTTTGAGTCACTTGAGTTCTGCGTGAGCTACTAGGTGTGCCCTTCCAATTACGATCTTCGTAGTAGCGTGAAGACTCCATGTTGAACGAAAAAAATATGCACTGCTTTTGAACGTTCGCGATTTAATACAGAACTACAGTGTCATAATAACGCTGTCTCCGACTAATACATTTCCGTACAACACGGAATGGATAGCCTTATCTGTCCTTGATACGCCGGGAAAATTTATCAACGTAAAGTTATTTCAAAAACTTCCAGATATTTTCTTTATCGTACATTCCATGACACCTCATTTTTTTTTGATAATTCAAACAATTGTGTCAGGATCAAATTCAGGAAATTCATACAGAAAACTCTGTTAGAAACCCTAAATGAAAGTGCTTCAAATGATTACAAATTGTAATAAAGGTAAACAAAAAAAGCACGTCATATTCAAGATTAGAAGAATTCTTCACAAAGCGTTAGAAGCTGATTAACCGGGAGTGTATCTTTTTAGAGAGCAAGGAGTGAAAAGTTGACTTAAGAAAGTTTCAAACTAAAAAGCACTTTATGGATCAATTATTAGTTGAACGAACTACGAAGTTGCATAAACTTCACCAACTCACCGTCTTCTTTTCACTTATATACAGCTCTTTTGCGCGCATATATGTATACAAGGGTTGTATTTTACAGTTCATGTATCGCTATTAATCAAATTATGATTATGTGGTGTAATTCGCGTCGATTCGAATTTGGCAACTATCGTTAGAAATAATAACGCTAAATGAGGACGTAACATTTTACATGCTAACGACTGTAGTCAAACGCTTGACGCCTTGCATCCACACACGCCCCAAACATTGTTTCCGATCCGCAAACACGATCACACGCCGTTAACGCGCGTGTCCTCTAATTCTCCGCTGCTCGCGAATCACGAAGCCCGAATTCGACGGGCAAAAGGAGCAACGAAAGGGCACGACGAGGGCGGAGACGATAATACCGGAGGAAATTCACGTCGTAATTTCTGCCATCCGACCCTAACTCTCGAAATGGTGCTCGTACACGACCCGCGGGAGACACCTGTTCCAGGGATCTGCTCGAATTCCTAACATAAGGCGGTCTTGTTACGCGAGTCGATACAAGTGCATCGTTGTACAACGGATCCTCTGCTAACCCCTTTTCCCTGAAAACAGACGACACGATGAATCGACAGCTCGCATTTCAAGTGCTCAACATCTCGTTTTAATTAAACCATTCTCAAATGGCGGACTGTGATGGCCGCTGAAGAGTACGGTACATTTAAAAATTCAAGTTCGCGGTTTTTTAAGAATGTCAGGTATATTGTCATTAGTCACTTTATCTCGGATGAATTAGTCAGTTAATCTCTTCGTTTGTTGCACTTTCATTGAACACTCTAGTTTTATCTGTATGACGAATAAGCACCTGATAGCAGATAGTGCGTTTAAACACTTACGATAAATGTTATCGGAATGAAACTGCAGGTGGAACTGAAGATGATCAGACAAATAGACCGGATGAAGTGTCTTGTAAGTAGGACAAGGTCAGTAAGAGAAATATGACGTAGAATCAAATTCCCCAAAAATGAGATCGGTATACATATATTAAACAAACGATACGTAAGTTCATCATGAGTGCATTGAAAGAATGGCCGACACGGTACGCGCAATTTTTATATGTCTTACCCGACGACCCTTACGAGCTTATAATCGATTGTCCATTTGAAAATACAGATGGCCACGTTCCGGTGTACCATACATGTTGTACGTGGCCACGAGGTGGTCATCTAGGCGAACAACGTCGAACGATGGAAAAAAAAAGTTCTAAACGATACGGAGAGGCAACGAAGCATGGAGCTAGAAATACCTAGGAGGAACTCGATGCGGTAGCAGAAGGCGAACATGAAAGAAGAGAAAACAAGCGATCAGAGGAGCAGAGGGAAGACGAGAGAGAGAATGAGGGAGAGCGGAACCGCGGAGAAGATGGGGTCATTGGGGCCATGGGACATCACGGTGCCGTAACGCAGGGATGCGGGTGCACTTAACCCCCCAAGAAGATGTTATCTATCTCATACGGACACGCCGATACACGAGCAAGAGACCGTGCAACCCAGACTTCACTTTCTACGTCCTCTGTTACCAGGATTTCCTGTATACTCGCCAAGACGAATTAATTCGTCGCGTAAAAATGCTTCGTGGATAACGCGTTACGTCACACATGGATCAACGTAACCCACATGGGGGTTATTTATGAACTTATGAAAATTCTGTAAATTCAATAGATTCAAGAATTGAAGAATAGGAATTTGGAAGTCTAATAACGTTGTATGACAGAAATTCTTAATACAAGTCTATGATAATTTAAAAATCACATATGCGGAGAAACCTCGACTACATGTCATGGTGATTTATGAACCTCAGTTTATTGAATTTAAGAAATAGAAGGTCAGGAAGGAATTTTATCATTGTAGGAGGTGGAGGAGATAGGTGATAGACTTGTGTGAACGCAATTTTTATTATAGGTGCATATGACAGTTTATACGTTGCACATATGTGATCGAACTTCAGTCACATGTCATGGTGATGTATGAACTTGAGTTCATTGAATTTAAGAAATTGAAGGTCAGAAAGGGATTACATCGTTGTTATAGATGCAGGAGATAGGTGATAGAGTTGTGTAAAAGCAATTTTTATTGTAGGTGTGTGTGACAGTGAAACATTGTACATATGCGGTTGAACTTCACTCACATGTCATGGTGATTTATGAATTGGAGTTCGTTGAATTTAAGAAATTGAAGGTCAGAAAAGGATTTTTGCATCATTGTTATAGACGTAGGAGATAGGTGATAGAGTTATGTGAAAGCAATTTTTATTATAGGTGCGTGTGACAATTTAAATGTCGTACATATGTAGTCGAACTTCACCCATATGTGATTGTAATTTATGAACTTGAGATTGTGAAATTTAAAAAATTGAGGAGTTAATTTTACAGTATGATATTTTTACTTCTTCGTGAGATAGGAGAAAATAAAAACGATAGGTGATTCATATGAAAAAGTATGTAATATACGTGATAAGTTTATATAAACATTTCAGCGCCGTATGTGGTTTCATATTAAAAAATTCTTAATGATATAGATAACAAATTTGTATTAAAATTGAAGCGTCATATGTAGATGAACTTAACATGATACCCATATGTATCCACATTTACCACATGTGGATGTGAAAGTTAGCACATTTGAGTTACCACATATGGATAGCATGTTATGTTCATCTACATATATGGGTGACGCTTCAACTTTGATAAAAAGTTATCTATATTCTTAAGAATTTTTTCATATCAAATTTATGAATTTGTAGTTACTAAACTTGAAAAATTAAGGTTAAGAAGTTTAGAAGTATAGAATTTTATCATGAAACCAAATACCTATCACATATGTCATATGCACATGCATTTATTCAACAACAAATAAACAGGTACTTCTGAATGATTCTTCTCCATTTTCTTTAACCAAATTCTCCTTTTAATTTCAGTTTTTATCAAATTATCCACGGTTCACCGATGTTGATACGTACATATACACATATATATGCATACATTCGCCATGCTAAATTCAAAGTTCTACGTGAGTTCACTGATCCGACCCACCTCATGTATGTGTATTTAACATGTTCCTAAACCAAACCTAACTCACTAATATACCGAACGGTAGCCTACATAGCTTATCAGGCGTAATACAGCCTAACAATATAACATCATTTCGTCCTAACATATGAAGCTTGTTCCGCTAAATTGTACTAAATTAGATAATATTTGCACTTTCAGTCGCTGAATACGGTTTCTGGATCACGTAATCGTGAATATTAGAGTAGAAATATCTTTATTTAACTATTATGTGTGAAGACAAAATTTACTTATAAATTCCAAATATTTAATAATTCATCACTAAATTTTTTATATTAGATACATTTTCTAAGTACATTAGATGTTGAGGTTCATTTTTTGACGCATTTTTTTTTTAATATTTTTAGACAAATATTTTAGACATATTGATGCATTATTAAAAAACTTAAAATTCAAAATAAAATTGAAAAGAACTATAAATTATTTTTAATTTAAAACAGAAATATTTTCATAATCTTCGCAAAGGCAATCTACAAATTTCTCTTAAAAAGGTTATTTCAGAAGCACTAACGAATTAACATGTATGTTTATGTTAATCTGTTTTTAATTAACCTGTTGTTAAGGATCAAAGTACATTAAGTATTAGTTTTGAACCAACGTTCTCGATAGCCGACACCAAACACATCTTTAATTCCGTCAATATTGACACAAGCACGCATGAGCCCAACGTTTACACAACCTCGTAAGCTTCTATACATTCCCGAAATTCCTAAATCCTGCTTTTTAGACTGTGCCATACAGCAGCTAGATATAAAAGCGTTCGCACGTCCGATATCTCGATCATTGTACGCACATGCATGCGCTGCAGAAAATTGATTCGATTAAAAATCACCAAGCGTAAACAGATAACAGGAATAATTCCCCGATGCCGTTTCGATATTCCCTTTATATTGAACGCATTGTTCGAATCGTTTTGTTCTTCGCCCAATCCCACTGTGCTCTCCATTCGTTTCGATTTTCGAGCACTTTCGTTCGTTTAAGCTCACCGACTTTTGGTCATCGGTCAATGACTTTGGATCCAAAAAGTGTAATTTAATTGGTAGACATTTGGGAGTGAGGTTAAGTTAGTTTAGTCTTCGTCGGAAGATGGCGCTGGGGAGCTATCTTGTCAATAATTACTGTTGATATATGACTCGAATTAATTTGAAAATTTGAAATTTTTATTGTGTGTTTTTAATTTATGGCTTTGCAAAACAGTGAAGTTGGAAATTTGAAAGTTTCAGATTTTTGTAGAAATTTTCTTAAGGTAATTTCTTTAGTTATTTCAGTGTTTGTGAATCTAGCTGTTAAATTTTTCAGTCGTTCCTATGTCGTCAAATTTTCAATTCCAAATCATTTCCAAATTTCCAAGGCTCGAATTTATTTTCCACGTGAACAATCACCTAAATTAATCCTACAGGATAAATTGAATATCCACGACTTCGCAGCTCTCACGGATTTAAAAGGTTAAAGATATGTCTGCCAGATGACTCCGCGACCCGCACGTTTCTGAGACGCATAAAAGTCGGTAAACTGTTAAAAAGAAGGGAGTAAGACCACCGACATTGTATTAATACCTTCGCTACTTAGCGAAGCGTTTACTGCTTACGTGGCGTGATGGCCGAGACGTGCCACGCAAGGTAGATGTAATTAAGTATAACATTTTGCGGCTCTGATGCTGCCAGAGGAAACACCTTCTATAAACGTTTCGCCAGGATATTATCGTTTTTGCGCCGACGGAACCGCTAACGAATTACAGGAAGCATGCAGCGTGTATGCTTTGAATTGGCGGTCAGACGCGTTATCGACGCGTTCCTCATCGATTTCCGAAACACGTGAAACGCCTGCGAAAGAGTCGCAATTTGCGGTTGCTCGGGATAGGAGGGTCGTTGAGTAATTGCCGGGCTAGCAATGATTAATCGTGGACAATTAACCGTCGCCTCGTTTTAACGTTTCTGCGTGGGCGTTATTCTGCGCTGGAAAAATTACTCTTCTTTTATTTTTACTGCGTTCGATAGTCTGACGGAACGGTTAATTGATATTAACACTCTGGGAAGTATATTAAGTTTGTTGCAAATGGATTAATACTTTTGTGGGTATATTGTTAGATATCAAATATCGATATTGTTAGATAACATAGATTAGAACTTGATTCAAGTTTCTGTCGATACAATGATATATAGTTTTTAAAAATTTCAATATTACCGTAGGTATTCAAGTACTTAGAAATTTAGGTGTTTGGAAATTTGAGAATTAACGATTTTAATGAAGCTAGTAATAATTGTGAATTTTACAAATTTGAGTATTTGGAAGCTAGTCTATTTAAATATTTGAAGTTAATATTGCCTTGGGAATAGTAACTGAAAAATTTTTTAATTCATTGAATTGGCAATTTGGATATTAAAAAATTTTCTGATTTGATGATTCGCATATTTGGAGATGTAGAAACGTAGAAATTTCGGAATTTGTGGATTCGAGAATACAGAAATTTCAAAAATTGAAATTTACCAATTTCAATAGTTAATAGTAGGACTTGAATTTGGGACTTGAGGAATGTTTAGTATTTTAAAAATATAGAGACATGATAATTTAGAAATTTAGATACGTGGAAGTTTTCAAAGGAGACTTAATTCGCTTCCTAATTTGCTGAATTAAAACTTTAACTCCTTGCACTCCGTTGTCCCTGTGAGAGTACATTTTGAATGACAAATCTTCGAGTGCAAAGGGTTAAATGTTAGAAGATTTAAGAATACATTTAGCAATTAGAAAAATAATTTGAACATTTAGAAGTTTGTGTAATCAATTAGAAAAATAATTTGAAAATTTAGAAGTTTGTGTAATTAATTAGAAAAATAATTTGAAAATTTAAAAGTTTGTGAAATCAATAAGAAAAATAATTTGAAAATTTAGAAGTTTGTGGAATCAATTAGAAAAATAATTTGAAAATTTAGAAGTTTGTAAGATTAACCAAAATTAAAATTACAAGATAAAACGTTTAGGTAGATTCCGTAATGTAATTCTATGCAAATACGAATGACAACGATATTATAAATAATTTGTAAATATTTTTGTCGCTGTTCAATTCAATATTCTTCCCACCATTAACTTAATGGCGATGTGAGAAATATGTACACTCAAGATATATAACCGCATCGGTAATATACTTCAAAACAGACGAATTAAGGACACTACGGAATTGATAAATGATGGAGAATCAATTTTGATATTCGATTTGAATAATTACGTCACAGCATTTCCTATGCAAATCAATTTCTATTCTTGCAAAACGAAATGTGTTATGCAAACGAAAAATATGGTAGTAAACTTTCAATATATATAATTAAAACATGT